CTCCCTCTCTCCCTTTCATTATGTTTTGAGACAGGATCTCATGTATAATCCTAGCTGGACTGAAACATGTAGCTATCCTTCTGCCTCAGCTTCCCCAGCACTGAAATTACAGTTATGCAACAGCCATCTAGAGCATGGCTCTTTTTACTTTGCAATTTCTATAATAACTGGATATTGTTTCTTGTTGTAAAACACCAATTTAGAGTAAATTTTATTCTTCTCAACCAAGTGTGATGTAATGAATTTTAGGTTTAGCGATCTGTTCACAAAAGGCAATAACAATGTTTCTAAATCCAATGCTTCAATGCTAATTACCTTATCTATACTTTATTCGTGATTTCACAGCACACATTCTAAAACTGAAATAATATAGAGTGGATGAGCACAGCCCGTGCATAACCATGACACATAAACTCAGGAAATGTTCTGTTCTTTAAATATTCAAAATTCATTAGAGGGAGCTTATACACAATATATGTACTTTACAAGTTATTTTTAATTCACTATATTTTATATACTTTTTAAAAATTTTTAAATGTAAATACATTTTGATCATATTCTTGCCCTCCCCCAAGTCTTTCCAGACCCTCTCCACCTCCCTACCCACCCCAATTTAAGTGCTTTCTCAAAAAAAAACAAACAAAAACCCAATAAAACAAGAAAACAAAAAGAAAGAAAAACTGTAAACAAATACTAGCATACAAAAAAATCTAGGGAGCCCAGTATATGTTGGTCAACTACTCGTAAACATGAAGCCTTCCCTGGAGTGGTTGATGTACCCAGTGTCGCTTGAATGGAGAAAATTAACTTTTCACTGTTTCAGCAAGTATTCTGTTCAGAATGGGGAAAAAAGAAAAGCATCATCAACAAATGGTGCTGATCTAACAGGATGTCTGCATGTAGAAAAAAGCAAATATAGATCCATATGTATCACCCTGCACAAAACTCAAGTCCAAGTGACCTCAACATAAAACTGGATACACTAAATCTAATAGAAGAGATTGCATTGAATGCATTGGTACAGGAGACAATTTCCTGAATAGAACACCAATGGCTCAGGCTCTAAGATCAACAATTAATAAGTGGGACCTCATAAAACTGAAAACCTTCTGTGAGGCAAAGGAAGCTGCCAATAGGATAAAACAGCAATCTACAGATTGGGAAAGGATCTTCACCAATTCTATATCTGACATAGGGCTAATAACCAAAATTTATAAATAACTCAAGAAGTTAGACTGCAACAAACCAAATAACCCATTTATAAAATGGGCTATAGAGTTAAACAGAATTCTCAACAGAGGAATCTCAAATGGTCCAGAAGCACTTGAAGAATACTGAACATCCTTAGTTATCATGGAAATGCAAATCAACCTTACATCAATCAGAATGGCTAAGATCAAAAACTCAAGCAACAGCACATGATAGCAAGGATGTGGAGAAAGAGGAACACTCCTCCACTGCTGGTAGGATTGCAAACTGGTACAATCACTCTGGAAATCAATCTGGTGGTTTCTCAGAACATTGGAAATAGTTCTACCTGAAGACCTGCCATACCACTCCTGGGCATTTACCCAAATGATGCTCTACCGTACTACAAGGTATAGCTACTTGTATTACAAATGCCAATTATGTTCCCTAAAAAGCTGTTTGCCAGAGAGTGTCTACAGGTAGCTTCTGGGAACCTGCTCCTAGTTGGCTCTGATTGGTAAATAAAGATGCCAGCAGTCAAAGCTAGAGAGGACAGACAGAGGCCGGATTTTAGGATTTCCCAGGCTTGGGACCCAGAGGAGGAAGAAAGAGAAAGATGTCATGCCTGAGGTCAGAGACAGAGCCACTATGTAAAGGGGTCGGGAGAGCACAGCTCAGACCCAAAAAGAACATGCATGATATGTACTCACTGATAAGTGGCTATTAGCCATGAAGTACAAAATACCCATGATACACCTCAGAGATCCAAAAGTGTTAAAGAATAAAGACCCAAAAAGAGAATGCTTGAATCACACTTAGAAGGGAAAACAAAATAGTCATAAGAGGCAGAGGGAGGGGATAAAAATGGGTGCGAGAGGGGAAGGGGATGGGATTGTGGGGGGCAGGTCAGTTATAGGGAGACACAAGAGACAGACCCAGAGGGCCCAAGTATGAATGGAAATCTGCAGCTTCTGGGGGTAGGGGGACTGGGAAGAATCTCTAGGAAGTCCCAGAGGCCTGAGATCGGAGAAGCTCCCAGGAGTCAATGCAGGTGACCTTAACCAAGATGCCTAACAGTGGGGACATGAAACAAGAAGAGGCCACCTGCCATAACCAGGTAAAACCCCCAGTGGAGGGATAAAATCAACAACCTACCCACAAAACCTTCGACCCAAAATTTGTCCTATCTATAAGAAATTCAGGGACAAAGATGGAGCAGAGACTGAAGGAATGGCCAACCAATGACCAGCTCAATTTGAGATCCATCCATGGACAAGCACTAATTACTGACATCATTATTATACTCTGTTGTGCTTGCAGACAGGAGCCTAGCATAACTGTCCTCTGAGAGGCTCTACCCAGGAGCAGACTGAAACAGAAGCAGATACTCACAACCAAACACGGGACATAGGTTGGGAACTCTTATGGAAGAGTTGGGGGAAGGATAGAAGGCCCTGAAGGGAATGGAAATTCCACAGGGAGATCAACAGTCAACTAACCTGGACGTCCTGGGAGAGCTCAGAGACTGAGCTACCAAGAACACATACAGGCTAGAATGAGGCCCCAGGTACATATGTAGCAGACAGGCAGCTTAATCTTCATGGCTGCCTTGTCTGGCCTCAGTGGGAGAGGATATGCCTAATCTGGCAGAGACTTGATGTGCCAGGGTGGGGAGATACCCAGGGGAGCCCCAACCTCTCAGAGGAGAAGGGGAGGGGAGATAAGGAAAGGGATTGGGGGGACCAAGAGTGGGAGCAGTGTTTGGGATGTAAATAAATAAATAAATAATTTTTTTTAATGGATAGTTTAGTTGTTAACTTTTACCCTATTCCCTATTGGCAAGGTTTTCATTCATTCATTCATTCATCCATCCATCCATTCATTCATTTTTTTAAATTTAGTTAGAAAAAACAGAAACTATCACATCAAAATTGGACAAGAAAAAACAACAGAAGTAAAAGATCCCAAGACCAGGCATAAGAATCAGGAACTCACTTGCTTGAATACTCAAGAATCCCATAAAAACATAAAATTGGAATCCATAATATATACACAGAGGACCTGCTACAGACTGGTGCAGGCCCTATGCTTCCTGTTCCAATCTCTGTGAGTTTCTAAACTTAGTTCCTGCTGGTATAGAGGCCTTATTTTCTTGGTGTCCTCCATTCCTCTGGCTCTTATCTTCTTTCTGCGTTCTCCCCCATGGGTTCTGTGAGCTCTGAGAGGAGGGATTTGATGGAGACATCGGCAAGGAATCTCAGTCTCTGTGTAATGTCTGTCTGTGAGTCTCTGCATTTGTTTCCAGCTGCTGCAAGAGGAAGTTTCTCTAATGATTGGTGAACAAGACCAGTGAGTATAGCAGAATATTATTAGGAGTCATTTTACCACTACATTTTTTTCCTTTTTTTTGGACCAGTAGTATTAGGTCTTGCTCTAAGTTCCTAAGCTATCTAGTCTTAGGTTGTTGGTCACCCAAGCAGTGTCGTGTATGGGTTTCATGAGTGGGCCTTAAGTCAAATCAGCTATTGACTGATTAGTCTCATAAGCTTTATGTCACCATTGCACTAACGCTAACATATCTTATAGGAAGGACACTATTGTAAATCAATGGGTTCGTGGCTGTCTTGGTGCTTATGTTTTCTTTTGAGAGAGTACAGAGTATGTTTCTATGCCAAAGATCCTGGAATATATGGCTCTGTGTAAGTAGAGGCTCAACATCTCTATTACACAAATAGTTGTGCATATGGCTTCTGTTTCTATCAGTTGCTAGGTGAAGCCTCTCTGATAATTGGGCTAGGCAACAATCTCTGAGTATAGCAGAATAGCATTAGGAATTATTTTCTATCCTAGGTCACTGACCTATCCACTCTCTGGGTCCTGGCCCTCCAAGAAGTGTCAGAAGTGAGCTCCCTCTCATGACATGGGTCTCAAGCTGACCTGTAATTAGTTGGCCTTTCCCACATGTTCTGCATCAGTTACACCAGCACATCTTGTAGGCAGGACAAATTGTAGGTCAAAGGTTTTCTGGCTGGGTTGTTGTAACAATCCCTTCACTGGAAGTCTTGCCTAATTACAGGAGATGACTGGTTCAGGCTCCATATCCTCCATTGCTAGGAGTCTTAGCTAGGGTCACCCTCATAGAAATTCCTGGGAGTTTACACTGCACTAGGTTTTTAACTTGTCCCAGAGCTACCCCCTAGTTGTCTTTCCCAGTACTCTCTCCCCTCCTGCTCCCTCTTGTTCCTGTAGTATCACATTTTTTTTTATCCATTCATCTATTCATCTATTGAATAATACCTAGTTGCTTCTGATTTCTGGCTATTATGAATAGAACAGTGGAGAACATGGTTGAGCAAGTGTCTCTGGTAGTATAAGGTGTCCTTTGGGTATATGCCCAAGAGTAATGTAGCTGGATCTTGAAGCAGATGAATTTCCATCTTCCTGGGAAACCTCCATCCTGAATTCTATAGTCACTATACAAGTTTTCACTCTCACCAACAATCCTCATCAGCGTGAGATGTCATTTGTTTTGTTGATTTCAGCCATTCTAACAGATGGAAGTTGAAATCTCAAAGTAGTATTGATTTCCATTTCCTTGATGACTAAGGATGTTGAACATTTGAGTTTCCTCTCTTGAGAATTTTCTGTTTGGATATGTACTCCATTTTTAATTGAGTTATTTGTTTTTTTAATGTTTGTTTGTGTTTGTTTTTTGATATCTAGTTTCTTAAGTTCTTTATGCTTTACTATCTTAATCCTATCAATCCATGAGCATGGGAGAGTTCTCCATCTTCTAATATCTTCTTCAATTTCTTTCTTCAATGATTTGAAGGTTTCTATCATACAAGTCTTCTACATGCTTGGTTAGAGACATTCTAACTTATTTTATATCATTTGAGGCGACTGTGAAAGATGTTGTTTTCCTGATTTTTTTTTCCTTGGTCCATTTGTCATTTGTATATTGGAGGGTTACTAATTTTTGTGAGTTAATTTTTTATACTAATACATTGCTGAAGTGTTTATCAGCTATACAAGGTTCCCCAGTGGAAATTTCAGGGTTACTTATGTATACTCTCGTATCATCTGCAAATCAAGATACTATGACCTCTTCCTTTTCAGTTTATTCCCCCTGGCTCTCCTTCAGTTGTCATACTGCTTTGGCTAAGACTTCAAGTGCTACATATATTGGATAGATATGAAGAGAGTGAACATCCTTTTATTGTTTCCTGATTTTAGTAGAATTGCTTT